GGTTAACCCTTTCGCTGCCAGGTTCGTATGTTGTATGGACCTGACAACAGGAGGATTTACACACAATTCGGTGGCTACAGACACCTGGATTGTGTCTAAAACTGACAGGCAGGTGGAAGCAGTCAGGCGGCTGCGATGCCACCCGATTGCTTCCACAGCTCCCGGTAACTGGCTCTGGCAGCTAAACAGAATACCAAATAAACTCAGTGCACTATATATCTAAAATAGATTGGATTACAATATAGAATTAATATACTGTATACACAGTGAGATTAGACATGTAGTGAAGGTAAGGAACTGTACAGGACACTCTCTGTGTAGCATTTCTAGAAAGCATGAACTGCATGTGCAATAAGCAGTTACAATGCATTTATAGGTTTATAAACTAAATTATATTTAGGAAAAGGGGATTTTAAACTATTACAGCATATTGATAGATTTTCATTCTGTACTCATAGCTTAACATTTCCATCCTTCTTATTAGTGTTGGGCCAGTTAATGGGAGGTAAAATGAATAAAGTGCAGTGCAAGATATATATATATATATATATATATATATATATATATATATATATATATATATACACAGTCCACGGAAAGTCCACATAGATATTTCGCCAAAGTATAAATAAACTCAATCCATAAGTCAATTATGTTGCATGCATGTGTGGCGTGGGTGGTCAATCGATTTCCCAGATTGTAAAGCTTCTACAAGCTAGCAATGGCTTGTAAACAAAACACTAACACCTCAGAGGTAATCGGATATGACCAGGTCTCTGAGCACCTCTATGGTAAGCGGGCACAACTGCTGGCTGAACACTCGGGTCTCCCAGAGGGACAGGAGAGGCCAAGAGAGCCACAGAAGGTGGAGGGAGCCTGCTGTCTGTAAAAGCAGTGCAGCGGCTAGCTGCAGGCATCATCCCATATAACCCCTTCAAACAGAGGATGCAGGGGTACTTCCTTTTAGGGGAAGGGATTAAGGAAAGGGTATTCCAAAAGACCCTAAAGAAGGGGGTGTAGGGAGAATTGGTGGTAAAAAAAGCTCAAAAAATAAAAAGGTTGGCAGGAGTAAAAAAAAAAAAAAAAAAATAGCCTGTAACCATAGATATGTTGAAAAATAAATTGGGGGCTGCCAGACTCTGGGCATATACTTCCATATATAGTGGACCTGTCCTTGCATCAGGAGATTTTGGAGCAGGGTATACCAGATGGTCTACACTCTTTTAAGGAAAGGTATTCTGAAAGGCTCTAAAGAAGCCCACTAAATGTAAAACCTAGGCAACGTATAAATACAATTTTGCCTTCTTGCATTTCATGTAAACAAGTTTTAGCCACAGCTTCATAGTTCACCACACCCAGGTAAAACAGGTAGCTCAGGTGAAGAACAAAATGGCATAATTCCTCTTGAATAAAAATGTCTTCGATCCTTAAGGTCAAATTGCGCAAGTTTGACTGAGTCTGGAACCCCTGGAATTAAAATAATTTACCCACTGTTTACTTCTTTCCATCGGACTATTTCATCTAGCCATCTAAGCCACCCTGTTTTGCTAAAGAACGTCGTGAGTCCACCTTTAGTAGATTCCCCTACCTGCATTGCCTCCCCCAACTGCCCTATTTCCTCTTTATTATTTCTTTTAACTGCTTATATCTTTGGTTGTTCATTATAGCACAGTTAATATTTTTTTTTTTTTAGATTTTCTTTGGAGGGTATTGTGAATATAAATTATAGTCAGCACATTCTTAATTCCAGATTATCATTGTGCTTTGATCTATTGTAAACACCCTCCTTGACTGGAATTCTGCTGGTTGTATTGTATGTTTTTAAATCTGAATAAAAATTGATTTAAACAGAAAATTATGTCAGGGCATATACTATATTTTAGTTATTGGTAGAAGCCTATCGCCTGCTGGTTTGTTACATTTAACAGGGACTCCAACAGAGAGATCTCCCTGAAATATTTCTCCACTAAGCTTTGTCTCCCCCTATTCAATATAAAGCCATGAAGCCTTAGTCCTGCTTAGTTGCTTAATTCTCATAAAGGTTAGAAGAAATTTGCAAATGGTAATCAGGGACGATTATCATCCTTCTGACAGTTATGATATATATATCTAATCATTAGAAGCAGCACTCTTATTTTGTGGTTTTCGTACAGCACAGCAGCTGGAGAACCCCCCCAGGTATTCACTTCCAATATGTAGAAATCCAAAACAGTTGCAGCACACTTACTATCTTTATTGCTTCTCAAGCAGAACACAAAGCAACTGCAAAAGTTTCATGCATACCATGCTCTTTTTCAAGCTAATTACAAATGGAAGAGTCATGCAAATAAAGGAACAGGTAGGAAATGAAATCATCAAATGATCTAAACACCTGATACTTCGGATGGCTTCATCTTAAAAGGAAAGGATAGATCATGGTGTATACAGTGCATCCAAAAAGTGTTCACAGCGCTTAACTTTTGCCACATTTTATGTTACAGCCTTATTCCAAAATGGATTAAATTCATTTTTTTCCTCACCATTCTGCAAACAATACCCCATAATGACAACATGAAAGAAGTTTGTTTTGAAATCTTTGCAATTTATTAAAAATAAAAAACGAAAAAAAAAAACCAGGTGCAGAACTGGTCACAGTCTTTGCTTAATACTTTGTTGAAGCACCTTTAGCACCAATTACAGCCTCAAGTCGTTTTGAGTATGATGCTACAAGCTTGGCACACCTATTTTTGGAGAACTTCTACCATTCTACTTTGCAGTACCTCTCAAGCTCCATCAGGTTGGATGGAAAGCGTCAGTGCACAGCCATTTTCAGATCTCTCCAGAGATGTTAAATCTGGTTCAAGTCTGGGCTAGACAGGTTTATGCCTTTCCTAACCATGTCTAATCAACTGAATTTCCCACAGATGGACTCCAGTCAAGTCAAGGATGATCAGTGGGAACAGGATGCACCAGAGCTCAATATTGAGTGTCATGGTAAAGGCCGTGAATACTTATATACATGTGTTTTTTTTTTTGTTTTTTTTTCTTTTTAATAAATTGCAAAGATTTTCATGTTGTCATTATGCAGTATTGTTTGTAGAATGTTGAAGAAAAATATTAATTTTAATCCATTTTGGAATAAAGCTGTTACATAACAAAATGTGGCAAAAGTTAAGCGCTGTGAATACTTTCTGGATGCACTGTAGATGACTCAACATAACGTTCTTATCCAAAACAACAGTTTATTCTATAAATATGAATAGAAAAACAGAGTTCTAAAAAACGTTGCGATGGTTTTTGTAATGATCCAAAAAAAATCATAATCATTTTCCCCTTTTGGTGTTAGTGCACTTAAAGTTTGTATCCAAAATACCTTATGTTTTTTCAGTGATAGGAACCTGTCCTCTTCTTCATGCTTTGGGGATATTGGCTGCCACCTAGAATTTAAGTTGTTCAGAAAGAATGTCCCGCTTCAAGAAAATATCTAACTACTGAACATCCTATCACAAGCTTTTTGTGTGGTTTCTTCAATGTATTTTTTTTCCAAATTTTTTATTCAGTAAGTTTACCAAAACATACATCGACATCAGATATTCTTTGTAAATATTAACCAAGAGGTTTGCATCTGGGCATATTTGCAGTCTTGGGCAGAATTGCCACGATTCTGCCCGCAATCCCAAAGCGCTCTGTCAAAATGACAAATTGCACCACGCATGCTTGTTTGGCATTCATTTTTAATGGCACCTAATCGCGTTGCAGGTCTGCAGTGATTGTCAGACTGAAATCACAGCAAATCGCATCTCGCAAACCTTGTTGCCCAAAAGAAGCTTCTGCTCCTTTTTGGGTGACAAGCTTTGCGTGATGCGGTTTGCTGCGATTGCAGCACGATTTACTGTGCGACAATCTCAGTAGAACCACACTGCGTTTAGGTGCCGTAGAAAATTAACGGCATCCGAACATGTGTGGTGCAATTTGTCATTTTTGTGTGCTTTGAAATCGTGATTCTGCCTGAGGGTTACATCATCAGTATAAAACAATGTTATACAATGTTAGGAAAAATATCAAACAAATTGTAACTATTGATGTTAAATGTCTGATAGATTCCTTTGTACCTGGAGGGACCAATAACTAATGCAGTAATGATTTCAGGAAAGACCATTAGCTTTTACTTATAGAAAGTAAAGGGGGCCCTAAAGGGAGAACAAGAAAAAAGGGGGGGGGGTGTAACTTTTAGTGAGGCTTCAAGCATTATTTTAAGAGATGTACAGATACGGACATGGTTTATAAAAAAAAAAAAAATAACTACTATGGGTTGGGAGGGGTAGGGGGGTGGAAGGGTGGGGGGTGAGGGGGGGCAGTGGTAGAATAAAGCTTGGAAAGCAGAAAGAAAAAAAAAAAAAAACTGTAATATGACGAGTGGGGGTGGGGAAAGGGATTTAGCTAAGAGTTTAACAGCCTCCATCACACAGTCTCTTCCACGTGTAATGACAGGTACTTGGGAAAGCCAAAATTGTTCCCAATAAAACCATCTTTTCATATGTTCTACTGATTTATGTCTAGGGGGTTTGGTGAGATTCTCCATGTTCTACATACACTATATTGCCAAAGTATTGGGATGCATGCCTTTACACGCATATGAACTTTAATGGCATCCCAGTCTTAGTCCGTAGGGTTCAATATTGAGTTGGTCCACCCTTTGCAGCTATAGCAGCTTCAACTCTTCTGGGAAGGCTGTCCACAAGGTTTAGGAGTGTGTCTATGGGAATTTTTGACCATTCTTCCAGAAGCACATTTGTGGGGTCAGGCACTGATATCAGACAAGAAAACCTGGCTTGCAGTCTCTGCTCTGATTCATCCCAAAGGTGTTCTATCGGGTTGAGGTCAGGTTGTGCAGACCAGTCAAATTCCTCCATCCCAAACTTTCTCATTTATGTCTTTGAGGACCTTTACTTTGTGCACTGGTGTGCAGTCCTGTTGGAACTGGAAAGGATCATCCCAAACTGTTCCCACAAAGTTCGGAGCATGAAATTGTGCAAAATGTCTTGGTATGCTGACGCCTTAAGAGTTTCCTTCCCTGGAACTAAGGGGCCAAGCCCAACCCCTAAGAAACAACCCCACACCATAATCCCCCCTCCACCAAACTTTACACTTGGCACAATGTAGTCAGGCAAGTACCAGTCTCCTGGTCACTGCCAAACCCAGACACGTCCATTAAATTGCCAGACAGAGAAGCGTGATTCATCACTCCAGAGAACATGTCTCCACTGTTCTACAGTGCAGTGGCGGCGTGCTTTACACCACTGCATCTGATGCATTGCATTGCACTTGGTGATGTAAGGTTTGCATGCAGTTGCTCGGCTATGGAAACCTATTCCATGAAGCTCTCTATTCACTGTTGTTGTGCTAATCTGAAGGCCACATGAAGTTTGGAGGCCATTAGCTATTGACTCTGGTGACTTCTGTGCACTGTGCACTTCAGCATGTGCTGACCCCACTCTGGCATTTTACTAGTTGCTGTTGTTCCCAGTTGCTTCCACTTTGTTATTATACCACTAACAGTTGAACGTGGAATATTTAGTAGCAAGGAAATTTCATGGATGGACTTATTGCACAGGTGACATCCTATCACGGTACCACACTTGAATTCACGGAGCTCCTGAGAGCGACTCATTCTTTCACAAATGTTTGTAGAAGCAGTCTGCATGCCTAGGTGCTTGATTTTATATACCTGTGGCCATGGAGGTGATTTGGAACTCCTGAATCCAGTGATTTGGAGGAGGGTTCCAATACTTTTGGCAATATAGTGTATCATTTACTTTTTGAAACCACTGAATTAAGGTTTGTGGGTTTGTTTGTTTGTTTCCAGTTACTAGGGATGCATGCCCTAGCTGCATTTATAATATAAGTCAATAGTGATTTATGTTTGTAGTGTTTTCGGGATAGTGGTGTCGGATTTAAAAGGACTGCTGCTGGATTGTCAGAAAGTGAGATCTGTTAGTTGTGCTATGATAAACATGACCTGTTGACAAAAGAGGGGATCATAGGGCACTCCCAAAAGAGACGTCCCCTTTAAGGGTCCTGGAGAGCCAGCATAAGAAATTCTTCTTGTGAGAAGAGTTTGTGGCAAGGACACTCTCTGGCTTGTGCCTGGGTATGTTGGACCTGTGTAATGTGTATGGGCTGCTTTTACTAAGCGATATTTTAGTTTTTTACAGCTTTTACCAACACTGAGCTCTCTTCTATGAATCATGAGCCAATCAGCTCGTTACAGTGATCAATCATTGGTCAGGACCTACTGATCGGCTTGTGCCGTAACAAATTACAGCATAGCTGGGGCAGCAGGCATGCACACCCCCTACCTGGAAGTACTTATAATGTATAAGGTACGTGCTCCAGCGCAGAAAAGCCACCCTACAGCAGTATACTGTATCTGTGTGGGGCAGTTAGGAAGAGATTAAAGCTAAGAAAGTCAAGGTGTGCATGACTCCTTATTCAAACCATGATCGGAGAGTGTTGTCTACTTTTGCAGTTTAAAGTCTGATTGGCAAAGATAGGTGTCAATAGGGAGGGGTAGCTCTGCTGATCAATTAATTTAAGATATCTTTAAAATATAGTGTTGGTCCAAACAGTGGGTGTTTTTGGAGGGAATTCAGTACACGTTTACCTGCCCAGGGAGTTCCAGCCAATGGAAAAGAGGAATAATCCTGCTCCAGAGAAAAGTTTGTGTGATACATGTGTACACCAATCAATCACTCTTGCCATACAAGCAGCACTATAATCAAGGGCAGGATCAAGGTGTCCCGCTCCCTCTCTGGGCTTAGTCCTGAGCAGGGTATCTCAGCTAAAGCGAAGTGCTTTACCCTGCCAGATGAATTGTAAAATCATTTCTAATGGATCAGAAAAAAAAGTGTGGGATATTGATAGGTAGTGTCTGCAGCAGATATATGAGGCACAGATAAATACATATATACACAGCCGGCCCCTTGATTAAAAAGGCTGGGCATGCCTGCACCATCAGGCTGCTGGACTCCCGTAAGACTTGGACACAGGGTTAGAGGCTTCGCTCCTCCCAAAACTCTTTGAAAGCCTCCAGACCCCAGAACCCAATCCTGGAATTACCAAACTGCAAAACCAATTTTCTCATTCAGAATAGACATTCTGGAGCCCCTCAACCTGGATATGTGAAAACTGTGTGAGGGAGAGAAAGTTTAGGGTTGCAGGACTTGAAGATTTATTCTGAAATAAAGTTTCCACAGTATTGCAACAGTTTCGAGCTATCAGCTCTTGCTCAATCAAGAAAATGCATCTAGTAGCAAAGCACTCCAATTGAAAGCTAGCAGGCATATAGGAAACTGTCGGATACTAATTAGAAAAATAAAAGGTAAACACAATGACATCTGTGTAAAGTGACGCACATCAATCTGATCTGGAAGTAATCCTTCACTTCAGGGACATATAATATATACAGTGTTGAAAAAGCAGACGACTTTTCCAAGAGAAATAAATGGAAAAATTCAGCCGAACAATAATGTAATATACCAAAGGTGATATGTACATCGAGTTAATTGTGTATATTCATAAACCAAATATTAAATATACGTAAAAAAAAAACCAGATGATTAAAGACATTCCATATTAAGGATTTGATGAAAAGGAATTTCATGAAAATACAAGTCAGATTTTAACTGCTTCCTGGCCGCCCTATAGCAGAAGTACTGCTACAGGGTGGCACAGATGCGCAAAACCATATATACGTGATTTTGCATTTCCGGGTAGGGGGTGCACGCGCCCTACGCTCACTGCCGTTTGCATCTGCAGCTGTCAATCACTGGGTCCTGGCCGGTGATTACTCGCCGGCGCCTGGTGATTACTGAGTATCTCTGACGGGGAGAACGGTTTTGTTTACTAACAGTTCTCCTCCCTGTCAGCTTGGGCACACTGCTTTGGATCGCTGTGCACAGCACAGCGATCCAAAGCAGTGTGCTTACTGTGAAGCACACAGACACCGCCCCATAGCAAAACACACCCAGCACACCCCGTAACCCTTTGATTGCCCCTCATGTTAACCCCTTTCTGCCCAGTGCCATTAGTACAGTGTCAGTGCTTTTCTTTAGCACTGACCACTGTATTGGTGTCAATGGGGGATGTCAGTGACACCAAGTCAGTTCCCCTCCAATGTCAGAATGTCTGCCGCAGTCCCGCTATAGTTCGCTGATTGCTGCCATTACTAGTAAAAAATTAAAATAAAATCCCAGTGTATATATACCACCATTTGTAAATGCTATAACTTTCATGTAAACCAATTAATTTACATGCATTGGGATTTTTTTTTTAGCAAAGACATCTACATTTTGGCCTAAAGTTATGATGAAATTTGATTAATAGCACAAAGTCAAAAATCTTGTTTTTTTTTTTCTTAGACTTGTCGGTCTTTTTTTATAGTGCAAAAAATAAAACCGCACAGATGATCAAATACCACCGAAAGAAAGCTCAATTTGTGGGAAAAAAAGGACATAAATCTCATTTTGGTGCAGCGTTGCATGACCGCAGAATTGTCAGTTAAAGTAATGCAGTGTCGTAGTGCAAAAAATGGCCTGGTCAGGAAGGGGGGTAAATCCTCAGAAGGGAAAGTGGTTAAAACTCAGGGTTGCAGTGTGTCCAAGCGATGGATCTTCTGCACCTCTTTTTCTTGAGAAGCAGTTAACGATTCCCTCCTCTCCTGTTAATAGGAATATGGTCTATGATCATAAATTTAAGTTGGTAGACTGAATGACCAAACTGCATGAAGTAATGAGCTACAGGCAATTATGTTAAACTTTCCCTGATCAAGTATTTATGTCTGGCTATTTTGTCATTGGCTTTTTGTGTGGTTACCCAGCATACAGAAGCCCACAAAGGCACGTCAATGAATAGTGTCCCTGTATTTTTATCTGGTATTCTCTATGTGGATGGTTCAGAGAAGGACCTTTTAATCATACTGGAACACTGGATGCAGTCTAACAACTTGTCTACCTTGGTACTTTAATAAATATACTGTAGCCCTAGTAGCAGCTTATTAGGCACAATTTGTGCTTGATTAGCAGCAGTAAAGGGGAGTGGAGTCACTGGGGGGTCTAATAAAACTCTGATGTCTTCATAAAGAGGTCCTGTCACCTGCCCAGTGCTTTTTAAACCTTCCTGTGATAGCAATGAAGTAAAATGCAGTGAAAAAAATAAGTGAAAGTGATCAAAAATATATAACAATTTTAAAAATGTAAAGGCACCCCGGTGCAAATGCGCAGCATAGGGCATGCACATGTATGTCAACATAAATTGCGTCACACATAGCAATAGTTCTAAGGCCATTATTAATGGGTAACCCTAAACTTTGCAATTTATTTTGCTCATCCAGTTTTATTGCGCTCATCCAGATGACTTTAACTCACAGCACCCTTAAAGTTTAAACTTCGTCTTTTATTAAAGACAAAATTCAGGCTCCAGACTCTGTTCCTCTCTCTATGCCCTCCTTCCTCATCTAAATTATGTTTTTTTTTGTTGTTTAATATACTTATCTTTTTAGGTAAGTTACATGACATGCAAAGTCTTCTTCACCTCTTCTCTAGTGCGGAGTTATCCTCAGTGATGCAGGGAGCCACACTGATGGGAAAAGACGTCAGCACCTTTCTTTGCATCATTACAATGTGAGAGCAGGTTGCCATGGTGATGCCCCCATTGCTCTGCATTAACCCCTTCCTGGCTCCGCCTCCCAGCCCTTTAAAGGGTTCTAAATGCCGGGAGGCAGGCATTCTGATCATGTAACTGCTGTGATTGGCAGTCACAAGATCAGAAAGCTCCCAATCGCAAGTGTGCACTTGGAGTTTTCTGGTACCCGCTGGTAAGTAATTGTGCTGGGGGGCGCGCGTTCTCAGCACAGAAATATGTTTACATAGGACTGCATATATTCGTACCTCCAGCAGGAAGTGGTTAACAGTATGACCCTGTGTGCTAGGATAAATGACCCTGGGCACAACCTTAGGGCAGAAGTAAATTACTGTGTAGGACAGCACCAGAAAGTAGGTTTCTCTAGTGTTGCAACCTGAGATTTTTTTTTTTATTTTTTTACTATGCTCAGAAAAATGATATTGAGACAATTGTTTATTTTTGGTTTTCTCATAAAAATAATAATGTTCTTTGGCTTTGCTGCCCAATTGATACCTGTAAAGTTTACATGTTATTGCTAAGTCCACTATTAGTATTACAAATAAAAGCTAATACATTTCTATTTTCATCCTACTAGAATGCTGTTGGCCAAGAACAGAAAATTCTGAAAAACTAAAGCATTATTGTTATTTTGTTCGTTATGGTTAGTTCGGGAGGAGGAACACATGGGTGTTCTAACAAGAAAACTACATTTTCTCTATGACCAGATGTTTTTCTGCAACTATGTTTTTTCCATTTTATAGTTACCATGATTTTTTGAATCATTGGGTGTTGTTTCTGGAATAAAATATAAACTGTAAGTCTTAGTTTTCTTTAGTCACACATCAACCATATAGAGTATCATCACATTGTCCTTTGTACAACATCTTTAAGGAATGCCATGACAAGGCATAAATTAGATTATTATTAGTTATATTTTTTTTTTGTGCTTTATAGTAGAAGTATATTCCTTTCTAGTTGAATCTTCATTAAATGTACAATTGCAGTTTTATACTGTTTGCTGTT